CACGTCAACCGCTGTCGTTGTTGGTGTTTCTGTGCTGCCACCGACCGTCGCTGCCGCCGTGGTCGTCGATCTCCCGCGCCGTTTGGACGCTTGGCTTTGGCGCCCTGCCATTCTGATTCTGACGCCAAATGTGATGTGGACCACTTTTGCGCTGGATGCGTCCAATACAAATTGCAAGTGAATTTTCCTGATGTATCCGTAAACGTGAGGAATGTGAGATGGCGGCGCATCCCATACAAAAACCAAGTCAAACCACTGCCTTGCATGTCCGATTTGCGGAACAAAAAGTTGCGCTGGGGCTTGAGGCGCCGATGCAGATTGCCGGAAATATTCGTAAACCTACGGGATGTATGTATAAGGTAGAGTTCATACATAAAAGTTATGCATCTGCCGAGCCGGTCTCAAACTACACTGCTAATGCGGTCTTCGTGCTACCTTCGAGTCCTGCGACTGCAGTTTCGAGCGACGCAAGCCGTTGATGCATCTGCGCTGCGTCGGCGGCTACCTGCTGCTCGAGGACCGACAACCGTTGCAAAAGCTCGGCGTTGGCTGCCGTCGCCATCTTGAGTTGCTCTTGGAGAGAAGTGGATTGGTCGCTGAGGCGGCTCTCACACGCTTGCAGCTGCATGTCGAGCTCTTGAACATGGGAGACAACGTACGGGATAAGCCCGATGTAGTTCATCGAGAGCATGCCGTTGCTGTCGGCCGACACAAGGTGGGGTAACCACGTGGCTACTTCCTGCGCCAAGAAACCGGCTTGCAGACCCGGTGGCGCCCGCGTCGCATTGATCCACTCAAACTCGATCTACGACATGCTCCATATCTTGCAACGTAGTTTATAAAGAATTGGTACCGGACGAAGAGCATGGAATATGACGGATGACACTGACGCCGGGCGTAGCACTCGTTTTAGCCGCGCGTCCGAGCGCTGTGTCATTGTTGCACCAGAAATGGTGCCACCTGCCCAGATTCCGCCGGCGACACCGATGCCACCTGCAACTTGGAGGGCCCCCGTAGTCGCCGACGAGGCATCCGTCGTTGAAGACAGCACTACAGTGCCTGAAATTGAAGCACCCCCGCTGCTAATCGTTAGGCCTCCGGCGCAAGAGGCGCCGTTCGACACAGTCAAACCAGCATTTAGCGATGTGGCACCAGCAACGTCAAGCGTCGAATCGAGCGTGGCCGCCCCGACGACATGCATGGCGGCCGATGCAGTGAGGATACCAGCGACGTCAAGCGTCGAATCGAGCGTGGCTGCCCCAACGACATGCATGGTGGTCGATGCAGTGAGGATACCAGCGACGTCAAGCGTCGAATCGAGCGTGGCCGCCCCGATGACATGCATGGCGGCCGATGCAGTGAGGATACCAGCAACGTCAAGCGTCGAATCGAGCGTGGCTGCCCCGACGACATGCATGGCGGCCGATGCAGTGAGGATACCAGCAACGTCAAGCGTCGAATCGAGCGTGGCTGCCCCAACGACATGCATGGTGGTCGATGCAGTGAGGATACCAGCGACGTCAAGCGTCGAATCGAGCCGTGGCGCCCCGATGACATGCATGGCGGCCGATGCAGTGAGGATACCAGCGACGTCAAGCGTCGAATCGAGCCGTGGCCGCCCCGATGACATGCATGGCGGCCGATGCAGTGAGGATACCAGCGACGTCAAGCGTCGAATCGAGCGTGGCTGCCCCAACGACATGCATGGCGGCCGATGCAGTGAGGATACCAGCGACGTCCAGCGTGGAATCGAGCGTGGCTGCCCCGATGATATGCAGTGTACCAGACCCTTCGATATTTCCGGTGATATCAGCGCCACCGCCAGACACGACAAGACCACCTTGATGAATCGTTGTCATGCCATCGCCACGCACGTCGAAGAGCGGCGTTGGCGTGCCACCGGCGTACACCCGGAGCATGTAAAAGTCATCGGAGGGTTCCGCTGCGGCTGTTACCTTGAGCACCACCATGTTGTCGACGAGCGCGAGGGTACCCGCTGAGGACGCAATGGTGGCGACGTTGGGTCCAGTAGCAGAGCTCGTGATGGACGCGGTTCCTGCCGATAGGACGAGGTTGCCTTTGTGCAGCGTCGTGTCGCCAGTTCCCTTGATATCAAAGAGCGGCGTCCCGACAATGGCTTCTGCTTGGAGAAGGTAGAAGGAGCTGGGAGGCGTAGCAGCCGTTGTTGCGAGATACAAAATAGCCTTGGCAAAACGCCGCATTGGTTGCGTACACCGCT